GGAAGAAGGAGTAAAAATGAGCAAGATGCAATACACACAGGTACCAGTTCCCCAAGACAAATGTAATTATTATGAATTGCAAACATATACTAATAAAAAAAGAATAGGGCCAGGGATTTAGCTCAGTGGTGCCACCGCCTGCCTCGAAAGCGCAAGGGCCTGAGTTCGATCCCCGTGCAAAAATAAATAAATAAGAATAGTGGTTTCTGCCACCTACAAGCCAGGCAGTCATTTAACCTGAGCCTCCTCACCTGTGAAAGGAGGACAAAGCAATTATCTCCTTCAAAGCACTGCCATGAGGATTAAACAAATTCATATTTGTCAGGCACTTAGCTAATGCCTTGTAAATGTGTGCTAAGTGGCAATGCAATGCTACTACTGACTATCCGGCGTTAGCACGGACCTCAGAGGGTAACAGCCTGGTTGTTGCTAGAGTTTCCTTACCTTAGACAAGAGCCACAAGCTCTAGGCTCTCAGCCCACCCGCACTGCTGACCCGCTGTCCACAAATGTACGTTCTTGGGCTTGATCATTCCTTAAAATAACTCCCAGAGCTTGGGAAAAGTAATATACTTAAATTCTAGTTTTACTATAAAGGATACGTCTCAGGACCAGCCAAACAGGGGAGGTCTGGGAGGGTGTCCAGTGTGAAATATTTATTCCTCAGGAAAGCAGCTTCTTCCTGGCACACCAACCTCTGACTACCAGCCAGGAAGTTCCCCTGAGCTCCAGCGCCCAGTCCATTGGGTTCCATCATGTAGGCATGGTTGATCAAATCACTGCCATGTGGCTGAGCTCCATCCCCAGCCCAACTCCCCTCTTGTCCCCAGAGGTGGTGTTGATCATGTAACTCAAAGCCCCAGCCTTCTGATCACAATTAGTCTTTCTCACATGGCCAGCCCGAATCCTGATACCTAGGCACCCACCGTGAGTCATCTTGTCAGCTGTCCTTCATAGCTGGGACTTCGTTCAGGGAAAGTGACTGGATCATGGGTGTGTGATACTCACCACTGAGTTAGTCCATTGAGTGGTTTCTAGCGGGGTATGACATTGGGAGGTGAAGACTGGTGGGAAGAGGTAGGTCACTGTGGGTGCAGTCTGGAAGGGTGTGTGTGTGTAAATACACATCCTTCCTCCTTCCTTGACGCTTCCCTCGCTGCTTCCTGCCTGCCATGGCAGCTCTTTCTTCTCTGTCATGCCCCATCTGCCATGGGACCTCCCTGCCTTGGAGCCAGTGACTATGGACTGAAACCTCTACAAACTGTAAGCTGAAATAAACCTCTCTTCCCTTAACCTGTGAGGGTCAGTTATTTTGTCGTAGCAACAAGAAAGTAAGTAAGACATCAGCAGAAACTCAGACGTGGCCTGGAGCTCTCCATGAATAACAGACACTCCCATCACTTGGGAGTTTCCAAAGACTTGGAGGTTATCCTTCATGGCTCCTCTGAATTTAGGGGTCAAATTCTTTACATAATGAATTAATGAACTGATAGGCAGAGGAGCAAGGAAAGCATTGCATGAAGGGAACATCTTAAAAGAAAGCCAGGGATATTTCTGGCACAGTCATTGCATAGAAGGAAGACCTCTCCCCCTCCACTAGCTGGCTGGCTTTGCCTACAGTGGAATGCAAACCCTTGAATCATAATGTGAGCTCTTGTTGGGCTATACAGAAACTGTGAACCATATGCAATCCTTTGTATGAGAAGTAGGTGTGATTTAAATACAAACATACACAAACAGTGGATTAAAACAGCAAAGATTTTTGTTTCTCCCAACCCATTGGGTTGACTTGGCAGTTTCTGGCACTGCAGGCATTTTGTGTGACTGCACTGAGCTGGCTGAGAGCCAGGCTGACAGCCCCAGGAAAGTCTTTCTATGTCTGGGGCCTGTGTTTGGACCACTAGAGCTTCATTTCTCATCCCTGCAGCCTCTCTTTGCATGTGATGTCTCAAGGCCTTCCTCCATGTCCTTGTTCAGCAAGACAGCCTGAATTCCAGGCAAGAGAGAAAAGCTGTCAGGTCTCTTAGGCCCCAGAACTGCCACAGTGCATATTTTCCCACCATCTTCTGTAGTCAGAGCAAGTCACAAGGCCAGACAGGCTCAAGGGGAGGGACAACAGACCCCATCTCTTGGCCGGAGGAGCAGCACGCTACAAGTGTGTGCAGGGAGGGCAGGACCTGCAGCAGCTCTCTTTGGACTCTACCACTTTCCCTCACCTTCCATTTCCTCCTCTGCAAATAGAGCATTTAATACAGGTGGCCCTTCTTATCCACAGGTTCCATATCCTAAGATTCCATCAAGCACCGATCAAATTATTTTAAACATTACATTGCTGCTGGCTTGTACCATATAGTTCAAGCTATGGTGGTTGTGTCTGTACTGAACAAGTACAGACCTCTTTCCTTGTCACTGCTCCTTATAATAGAGTCTAATAGGTATTTTCACATCATGTACATTGTGTCGGGTATTGTGAGTGATCTAGAGATGGTTTAAAGTCTACAGGAGGGGGCCAGGGATTTAGCTCAGTGGCACCGTGCCTGCCTCGCAAGTGCAGGGTCTTGGGTTTGATCCCCAGTACTGGAAAAATAAATAAATAAAGTCTACAGAAGGATGTGCATAAGCTCTATGAAAATATTGCATTGTTTTTTATAAGAGACTTGAGCATCGTGATTTTAGTTTCCAAGAAGGTTCTTGAACTGATCCCCCTCAGCTCCTCAGATGAATGTGATGATTAATAAATATGTGGTATGTGATGTGTGATGGCATTTATACATTTTTAAGTGTGAAGTTGAAGATATCTGAATAGTGAATAAAACTGGAGGATTTATAGTGCTTTAAAAAGAGGTAGAGGTGGTTACCATAATAAAAATATTTTGGAGGCATTTACCATGGCCCAGACAGTGTACACACTGCTTTACAAGTATCCTCTTCTTTAATCATCATGACAACCCAGCAATATAAACAAGATAAATTTTGTTTTGTAATTTTACAAAAAAGTAATGACAGGTTAGTGGCAGAGCCAAAATTTGAGTCCAGTTCTGCATGATTCTGAAGTTTGAACCACTGTAGCCAGAATTTCTTTTTATTACTCAATACACAATCAACTGGCAAGTTCTGGAGGTGGAACCTAGAATCATTTTTATCTTTTTTTTTTTTTTGCACTGAGGATTGAACCTAGGCCTTTCACACTGAGCTACATCTCAGCCTTTTTAAAATTTTGAGACAGGGTCTCATTGAGTCACCAAAGTGGTTGGGCTGGGCTTGAATTTGTGATCCTGACTCCCAGAGTGCTACAATTACAAACATGGATCACCATGCCCAGATAGCTTCTGTTGTTTTTAAACAGCCTCATTAATGCAAGAGAAGGACTCAACCTTACTGTACTATGGTGAACCTTCTCAGGTTGCTTAGCAGTTCAAAGACACTAAGGAGAGGCTCAGGGGAAATTCGTATTTGCAGAGCAAAAAAGAAGGCTTAAATAAGCGAAATGCCTAGAAGTGGGAAGAATAAATGGCTTTAAAAAGAAGTACACTTTCTAGAGGTTGATTATAAAACTGAGGAAATGAAACACTAGAAAGGAAGCCAGACCCAATTATTTGCAATTAACAAAGCTTACATTTTATTTATAAATTCATCTGGTTTATGCTTCTTTGATTTGGGGATTATTACTTCCTCTGCTAGGAAATCCCAACTTCTTCACTCACCCTACGAGGGAAACACCTCCTCACTTCAGGCCTCTTTGGCCCTGCCTGAGAAGCCTTTCCTGACTCCTCAGCCCCAGGTGGCCCACAGGTGCGAGGGTCTTTCCCCAATGCTATCATATACAGCTCCTGTGCTGTAAATGACGATTTATATTCCTTCTTCAGCTCTGGGCTGTGAAGCCCTTGAGGATGAGGGCTGTTCAGAAGAGAGGAGAAAGGGAGAGATGCAAGATGCTTCTTAGAACCACGAGATGAACAAAGGAGGTGAAGGGGCCACTGGGAAGGTGCACATTGTTCTTTGAAAAGCACTAAGACTTGTTGAGAAGACAAGATGAAGATTAGGGAGCTTATCAACAGGCAGCAGTGAGATGCGTGGCAAACCTGCGGTTGCCTCTTCAAAACTACGTCAATTCAAAGCAGCTAGCAAACTAGTCCCTTTCAGAATTACACGCATTTTACTTTATACATATAACAAACGGTTGAAATGATGAAAATACAAAAGCCAGGGAAGATTTTTTTTCCTTCACCTGGACACAAGTGAGTTTGATAAATAACTCCTGAGTTACTTAACCCTTTAACATTGTTACTTCATTTTTTAAAAATTACAGGGGCTGGGGATGTGGGTCAGTGGTAGATCACTTGCCTAGCATGCACAAAACCCTAGGTTCAATCCCCAGCACCAGAAAACAAAACAAAATAAAACCGCCCTCCCCAATTGCTGTAACCAAATGTGACATGTCAAATGCTTTGTAAAATATTGGTGGTAGGTGTTAATGTTTACACTATTACACTATTCCGCAACTGTACTCCCCCTTTCCCCCAGCCTCTCTAAAACCACAAGTTTGGCGAGGAACCTTATTTCCCTGAAAATAAGACCTGGCTGGAAAATAATCAGCCTTAAAAACTAGAAATCAAAAATGCCAGCCCCAGTCAGCCTATCCTCGCGTTACCTGCTATCACTAGTCTCTCCCTCAGTGGCCACTCTGGAACGCAGGTGAGGCGAGGACACGCTGATTGGGACTGGCATTTTTGATCTCTAGTTTTCAAGGCTAATTATCTTCCAGCCAGGTCTTATTTGGGGGGAAACAAGGAATAACGAGCTCCGTTCTTAACTTTCAAGCACCCTCTATTCCGGGAGAATCTGCCCTCATCCAGCATGGCGGCACCGGCTACTGTCTGTTCTCATCCCCCCGCTGCACCCCAGCGGCCCTTCCGGAACTGTCCACTGAGTTGACTCAACTTCTCCGACGCCCTATGATGACGCAAAAGCCCGGAGGCACGCTAAACGCGGGCCGCCCAGTTTTGCGCAGAAGCAGCGAGAGCGCGGGTGGGCGGAGCCTGCCGGGATGAGTGGCGGAGGGACCGAGGCTCATGTGGGTTGTGAGGCCGCCACGGCTGGCAGCGGCGTCAAGAAGAGGGACTCGCTGGGGACTGCGAGCGCAGCGCACCTCATTATCAGGGGTACGGAGTGCGGGGCTGTCGTCCCTGGTGGACCTCACGGTAGCACGCTTCCCAGGCGGCTCCCTCTGACCCGGGTCGACCCCGCGTCGGGCGGGCGCGCGCGCGTCGGGCGGGGCGGGGGTGGGTGGGTCCCGGTCCAGCCCGTGGGTCCCGCCCGGTTCCCGCCCCGGAGCTGCCCGCCGCCGGCTTCCGTCGCGCCCTCGAGGTCCGCTGCGGCTTCCTGCGGGAAGGTCTTTGCCGGTCAGATGCTAGTGATTTCTTTGCCTTTCACCCAGTTCGGTCCCACCATCTTTCTGTACGATTTTAGAGGCCTTCAGAACTAGCCAAGGAGGTAGACGGACGTTGGTTGCTGCTCCTTCATTTTAGCCTTAGCTTCTCAGAGTTGTAGGCAGCCCCAGCACGGGCTGTGGCTGTTTAGACTTTATATTTCAGGTTGTCTCTAGTCTCATTAGGATTGGGGCACTGTTGCATGGGTATCAGGGCTAAATTAGAATTATCTATGCAATCTTAGTGCAGCATTACTTTAAATTGTTTTACAGTTGTGATCAAACAACGAAATACATCATCTTAACTATTTTGAAGTGTACAATTCAGTAGCTTTAGGTACATTCACATTGTGCAGTCGTTACCTCTGTCTATCCGCAGAAAGCTTTTCATTTTGCAAAACTGAAAGTTGGGATCTATAAAAATAACTCCCCATTCCCTGCTGTCCCCGCCCCCCGCAACCACCGTCCTATTTCTATCTGTAAATTTACCTTCTGCGAATCTAATCATGGTCTCTCCCCGTTTGTGACTGGCGTTTTTAACTTATAATATCCTTAGTGTGCATCCATGTAGTAGCATGTTAGAAGACCCATCGTTTTAAAGACTGGATATAGTAATCCATTGTATGCCTATACCACACCTTGTCGGTTCATCTGTTTGTGGACACTGCAGCAGCTCCCAACCTTTAGCCATTGTGAATAATACTGATGTGGACCTGAATGTACAAATATCTTTTTCGAGGCCCTGTTGTCAGTACTCAGGGATATACATATGCCCAAAAGCAACATTGCTGGATCATATGGTAATCCTTTTTAATTTTTTGAGGAATTGTCCTACTGGCTATACCATTTTACATTCCTACCAGCAGTCCAAGGGTTCCCGTTTCTCCACATCCTCCCCAACATTTGTTATTTTCTGTCTTTGATAGTAGTAGCCGTCCTACTGGGTGAGGTGTCATCTCATTGGGCTTTGATTTGAATTTCCCCAGTGTTAGCGAAATTAAGCACCTTTTCATGTACTTATTGACCATTTATGTCTCTTCTTTAGAGATGTGTTTATTTCCTTTGTTCATCTTTTTAAAATTAGAGTTTCTGTTTGATTGTTGAGTTGTAGATCTTTATATATTCTGAGTCCTAACCCCCCTTGAAAAGTAGTTTCCACCCATCTTCTCCATGGGTTACTTTTTATTCTGTTGTGTCCTTTGATGTACAAAGGTTTTAAATTTTGAAGTAGTAATTTTTAAAAAAAAGATAATTCAGCTGGGCATGGTGGCACATGCCTGTAATTCCAACACTGGGGAGGCTGAGGCAGGAGGATTGCTTTGAGTTCAAGGTCAACCTGGGCTACATTTAGCAAAATCCTGTCTCCAGAAAAAAAAAAGAAAAAAGATAATTCAGTGCTATATTTTAGATCCTCCTCCCTCAGCTTCTTGAGCCCTGGGATACAGGTGTGTGCTGCCACAGCCAGGACTCCCGCAGTTCTTTTTTTTTTCATTGCTTCTGTGTCATTCTAAGAGGAAGTGTCATTTTGCATGTCTTTAAAGTTTGTGTAAATGGCTTTAATCCTTCTGAAACTTCCTTTTTTTGTTGTTCAGTGTTATGAGTTTTTTACCTATGCTTACAAGTGTAACTCTGATATATTTTGTTTTGTTTTATTTGTAAGATACTGGGAATTGAAATTAGAGCCTTCACATTGAGCTACATCCCCAGCCCTTTTGTTTTTTGTTTTGACACGGAATCTCTCGAAGTTGTCAAGTTGTCCAGGCTAGGCTCTAACTTGCAGTCTTCCTGCCTCAGCCTCCCATGATGTGTTCATTTTTACTTGCTAATTTATAGTACCCCACTGTATGAATGTATTTAAGGTTTTTTCAGTTTTTCTTTTGATATTGCATTTATGTTTAGTAAAAATTTATAAATGCCTTAGTCATTTGTGCAGTTTTTTCTAGGTTATATATCTAGGCATGAAAATGTGGGTATGTATTGGTATATCTTTAGTTTTATTAGATATTGCCAAATTGACCTCAAAAGTAGTACTTATTTATATACCTACTAGTCTCCTAATCCATGGTCTAAACTGAATTTAACCTATCTTCCTCTATTCATGAGGAACAAGAAGCAAAACAAAATCTCTAGATTATGCCACTTAGCATGGGTTAATTCTGAATTCATTTTATCTTTATAGATCTTGGAGAGATTCAGTCAAGGCTTTTGGATCACAGACCAGTTATTCAAGGTGAAACGCATTACTTTGTAAAAGAATTTGAAGTAAGTACCTAAAACTTACTTGTAAAATTACTGCCGTGTTAATGTGATAATACTCAGAAAGGAAATTCTCTAGTTTAAAAATCTGATTTCACTTCATGCATTTTTATAGAATATATAAAATAAAAGTTATGAAAAGATTAAAATACTTATTTTTAATAGGATGAGTGTGAGACCAGACAGCAGGAGACTTGGGTTCATATTCTGGTGCCTGCTCTAGGGTGTTTAATGTGTGTTGATCATAATTTTTTAGTCTATGAAATGAAATATAGTGAAAGAATTTTAGGGATCAATGGGCCCAAGTTTCCCAGACCAATTTTCTGTATGTATTTCTCACTGGAGGAATCACCACCACTCACTCGGACACTCAGGTTGAAACTTGAAAAAAATCCTCAGTTGCCAATTCCAGCCCCCTTTCAGGCCCATGTTCAGTGCCCAAGGTTTCTAGATGTTACCTCATTTCAGAATTTCATTCTTTCTGACTGGTGTACCTGCTTTATCAACTGAGTTAGATCCAGTTTTCACCCTGCTGCCAGTGATCAAATATTATTTCACTTTTAAAATCCTTTGATGGTATTTGCCAGGTATAGGATAAAGCCCGAGTATCCTTCTGATACTTGCCCCTTCCTTGTTAGCTTTACCACCTGCCACTCTTTACCTTGCATGCTGTTCCAGCCACGTGACATCCTGTTTCATGTATAATCAATTCATCGTGCATTAAATCACAACCCCTCAAGCTACCATTAGGTGGATGATAAATGCTGTTGCACAATTTGATGATTCTGTGTAGGCTGAGGTTCTATTTTCAGATGAGATTTTGACCAAGCAGGATGTCCAAATGTGCCGAAAGCAGAGAACCTTTTACTAAACCTTTAAAACTACAAGAATCCCATGCGATAGACCACACAAGATAGTAGAACTGTAGTATTGGACCTGTTTCTGGGTTCAACAGACTGAATAACTGAAAAACTGCCTGATACTTTACAAGACTGAAGATTAAAGATGTGAGTATGTGTACATGATGGGGCACATTATCTTAGAATACCCAGTGGTACCCAGGGATAACTTAGCTGTTTTGCATCATTGGCATCATTATTGTGGGATAAAATAATAGAGGACGCACAGGGAATTATCCAGAGACTATTCTTTACATTCCAAAAAAGGATTATTACAATTCCTTAGTGAGAATAAAGTGGAAATTTCTGTACAAACTTCCTATGGTCCTTTATACTGTGTTGTGAAAATAAGGCTTTAGCCCCTAGAGGATTTTTCAGTACTGGGCATTGACCCTAGGGCTTGGAGCGTGCTAGGCAAGTGTTCTCCCACTGAGCCTAGTTGTTCTTAAATGTGGGAACAGTGGACTCTGCTTTTCCTGCATGCTAACAATCACACTACCAGCAAGCATACCCTGCAGCATACTAATCCTTTGTGCTTATCCCTTTGTCGTTACCCCTACTTCAGCCAGCTCACTGCCGCTGTCCCCTGGATGCCCACAGGGGCTCTGGGTTTACCCTGATCTCTGTGAAATATTTCCCATATTTCGCCAAGTGACCTGTATGTCTGATCATACCACACAGCCACCGAGCCCCCTACTTTCATGACTTCTCTTCATGCTTAGCGTATGATCCAGCCCCTTAACTGAAGTCCAGGAGGATCACTGGCTTCTTATGTCTTTCATATTTATTGCACACAGCTTTGCACTTACTGTGCTTCACCTGTACTTCCTTTGTCTTTATCACATCACAGTTATCCCTGCCTCAGCCATCTCTTCTTTATAAAATGTTCCTTCTCCCCATTTTTTTCATGGCTCAATCTTTTATGTTTAGATAGCAGGTTAAATACCACCTCTGATCCTTTAATTCAGAGCAGTCACCATGACACTATCACATCACTGTCTCTGATGCTCTGTACAGCACCATATTTGTTTTCTAATACCATGTAACCAATTACCATAAACTTAATAGCTTGAAACAATACCCATTTATTAGTTCTGTAGTCAGACGTCTAGGCACACAGTGGCTAGGACCTCGGCCCAGTGTCTCAGAAAGCTAAAATCAAGGTATTGGTCATTCTCATTAGGAATACAGGGTCCTCTTCAGAGCTCACATGATTGTGGAAGGACTCAGTTCCTTACTGTGAGGGTCACTTTCAGCTCCCAGAGGACATGCACAATCCTTCCTGCCTGGCCCTTTCCACGTGCAAAGCCAGAAATGGGAAGTCACCCTTGCTTGGAATTTCTCTCATGCTTCATATCTCTCTGATCCGGAAGAGCCCAGTCTCTGTTAAAGACTCACCTCACCTACAAGTCAGGCCCACTGAAGATCATTTCCCTTTCTTAAAGTCACCTGAAGCCAAGTATGGTAGTGCGCACCTGTAATCCCAGCACTTGGGCGGCTGAGTTAGGAGAACTGCTGTGATTTCGAGACAAGCCTGGGCTACATAGTGAGTTCAAAGCCAGCCTGAACTACACAGCGAGACCCTGACTCAAAAAAAAAAAAGTTAAAGCCACCTGATTTGAGATCTTAATTGCATCTATAGAATCCCTTCACAGCGACACTTAGACTAGAATTTTATTGAATTAGCTGGGAAGATGTATGTGCATTAGGGGTGGAGATTTTAGGGACCATTTAGAATTCTGCCTGCCATAAGCCTTCGTAACTGCCTATACTGTTCTTGTTATTTACTTGTTTGTTGCCTGTCTTTCACTGCTAGAATACAGGGACAGGAAAATAAGGACTTGTCTTTAATATTCTCGTTTGTATTCAGAATGCCTGAAACAGTGGCTGCCACCTTGAAGGTGTTTCATGTGATTCAGAAGAACAGATTGTGGATTAAAACTTGGGTTTTCTGACATCTCGTGCCATTTTTCATGAGTCATCTTTTTTGTTAGCCTGGTCAACTTGAAATACCCAATAGCGTTTATTAAAACAACATTTATAAATATACCTCTAATGCTTTAATTTATATTAAAAGAAGCATTAGAATTTTGGAATTAAGATGGGTTCTGTAATCAGGTTCCTCCACTTCATAGAGACTGCGCTCAGAGATGGGAAGCAGTAAGTAGAACGTCAAATAGCTGATTAGTAGTATTCTTTAAATAGTGTAGATGGAACTGAAAGTACACGTGTAAAAGGGCTGTGCACATGAGACTGAATCCTTAATGGAAATGAAAAAGTGGAGTTTTTGAACGCTGTATTCAAGATGGCTTCCTACTGAAGCCGACACCTCTTTTAACTGGATGAGAACATGCCAAGAAAAAGTGGGCATGTGTCTGAGAGAAAATTACCTGGATTCTGCACTGCTAAGCCCTGCAAGATCTTTCTGGAGCGGAGGTGGTATGGAAGGGTAGGAATCTGTGTTCAGATCTTGGCACTCCTCGGACTACTTGTGGCCACCTGGTTTACAAGGCTCAGTGTCCTCATTAAAATGAGAACAATAATGTATAATGTACAGTTTTTGAGTTTATTTGAGGATTAAATTACCATTTTTAAAAAATCTATGTTATACAGTGTTCGATGTTTCTGTTAAGGGAAAGATGATAACATAAAAATATTAATTCAGAATACCAAAAATTTAAATGCATTTACGTTTAGTTTTTAATATCTCTAGGGAAAATAGGAATTACCTAGATAAATGACATAAGCATTATCTTAGAAAATGTTTACTAAATAATAAAATTTTCACATTGGGTGGGTATGATAGATACAAGCTTATTATATAGAGTCAAACTATGTTGAGCATGTAAGGCATGAATGTTTGTGTAAGGCATAGTGTCAGGAACTGAAGCTACATCAGTAACTGAGACAGACACACCCATTCTATTGCGTTGAAGAAGGGTCCCTATCGTTGAAGGATGGTCTTTGAATGGCTCAGCAATACCTTGTCAGTTGCGTTTCTTGAAAATCATTTGATCCTTTCACATGGTGGCCTCCCTAGTTGGTCTTTCTGAGGATTTAGTATAGCACAGGAATTTTCCTACACATCAGACTCAGCTCCCTTGTCCACATGTCATCCTGTAACATTTCTTCTCCAGGCAGGAGAAAAGCTGAAGGCATTTTAGCGATAACATGTTTGAATATATGTGGTATGATAAAAACATAAAAAAATGTTAAAAATTTGTTTTAAATTTATTACAGTAGAAGACGCATTGCCATTAATTTTTCTCAAAGTAGTTCTCCTTGCTTTGAACACACTGATTCCATCGTCTTGCCACTTTCTGAAGAAGTCCTGGAAGTCCTCTTTCGTATCTTTAGTTTCACTGTTGTAGCTGTGTCAATGTCCTGAACTCATTCACAACATTACCTTTCATGGTCATTTTGAGTCTGAGGAGTAACTAGAAGTGGAACAATGGCAGATCCATTTAATAAGGTGAGTGAGGACACAGTAATGCTTTTATTTATTTATTTTTTGGTACCAGGGATTGAACTCGGGACCCTGCGCTTGTGAGGCAGGTGCCGGAACCACTGAGCTAAATCCCCGGCCCAGTAATGCTTTGGTTTGACAGAAATTGCCATAAATGCTTTTCATCAATTCAGGACATGCAGGCAGCCACAACAGCCATTAAAGAGGCTTCCACAGCTGCTTCCAAAGTGGCAAGAAAGATGGGATAGGTGTGTTCAAAGCAAGAGGACTATTTTGAGGGGGGATTAATAGCAATGTGTCTTTTACTGTAATACATTTTAAAAATTTTTCTTGAAATGTTGACTGTAGTTTTTGATCACACCATGTATATCTGCATTGTTTACACTTCTTGTCTGTGTTGGCCTAGACCCTAATATCCTTTTTTCATGAAAGTGTTCTGCCCACAGTGGCCTGGCTGGACTGGGAAGGGCAGTGGAGCAGAGCCATCAGTACCTCCTGGAAGTTTCATCTCTGTGCTGTTTAAACGTAGTTCATGTTAAGAAAAACTGGCTAGTATTTAAAACTGAAATAGTTTATGCACTTAAAAGATTTAATGTATATAGCAACAGTTATCCTTTTCTTTATAAAATTTTGTCAAAGAA